TTAACCAGCACTGTTATCAAATTTGGTTCTGACACATCTAACACACTGCCTTCATGGGTGTTTGCCAGGCTACATTTTTGGACTTGGACTTGCACTTGCACTTGCCCAGGCATGCACACTCATAGCTGTGTATTAGGGGTGTGCAAACCGGGCCAAATTCAATTTGGATTTGGGCCGATTTGAGGGACTGCAATTTGATTCTTTGATTCGGATCACTGCCCCCAATTCAATTCGGCTGAATCTGAATCTGAAGATTTGGTGCTGATTCAGAGAATTAGTGATTCAGCCACAGACACAGCTTTAAATGTTTTTTCTACAAACCTGAAGGTAGCAGGCATGGCTTGTGAATACTGAGCTGGTCGGGTGAATGGGGCATTCCACAGGAGCGTGGGGGCCCCCCATGCATTTGGCAGTGGACCCAGAAGTGGGCTGGAAGTACTTCTGGTCCACTACTGAGCACATGGGGGACACCCTGCCACCCTCCAGCTCAGTGATCAGCCATGGGGGGACCCCGGGTGTCCTCCCCAGACCCAGAAGGCACCAGTTGCTGAGCTGGGAGCTGGGGAGGGGAGTCCCCTGTGTGCTCTGCAGTGGACCTGGAAGTGGTCCGGAAGTTCTTCTGGTCCATTTCTGTGTCCGCTGCCGAGCGTGCAAGAGCCCCCCCCTGAACCCCGTGCTCCCGTGGGATGCTCCATCTGCCCCACCATCTCAGTGTTCACAAGCCACCTGGTACCTTGAGGTATGTAGAAACATATTTAAAGCTCTGTCTATGTCTGAATCAACCTGAATTGATTCAGAGGGTTCTGATTCAATTCCGAGAGATTAAAGGGTCTCCTGATTTGATTTGGATTTGGAGATTCAGCCACCAAATCAGGCTTCATCTCCACTGAATCGAATCAGCAACCAAAGCTTTGCACAGCCCTACTGTGTATCTGCTTGTACAGTTTAATAAGCGTGCTTAGTAGCTATGTGGCATTTCTATATCTACACTGAACAAAGAGTAGGATTGTGTAAAGTTATTTAAGTATCAAACACAACATCTATATGGCCTGAGAAACACAATTTGAACATATACAGTGAAGTGGTTTGTTTTCCTTGGTTCCACTGTGTTTTTGTCTAGGGATACCTAAGCCAGATAGAAGCAACAAGACTATGACAGCCATGTCTCATAGATTTGTCTGTTATATCTCAAAAATATAGCCTATCAGTTAAAGTTCCAAAAGTCCAAGTTATGAATTCCAGGAGCACCAAACCATCCAGAGGTGTCAGTGAGTGATAAGATACAGCTGCAATTCTGAAAAGAGACATTAATCCCTCAAGACCCAAAGGAATTAGTTTTCCTTTGGTTAGACTCACAATTATTGGATGGAAAAAGGAGGGTGGGACAGATTTAGAAATCACAAGACAATCTGATACTGACATTAGTATGGCAATTTTAAGATACCAAACCTGATTTCTTAATTTTCTCTATTTTAGAGCCTTCAGAAACATTATTTTTAGATTTCTATACATAAAAGGTTTAGAGTACATGTTGCCTTGCATTACTGCTGTTACTCTTTGAGAGTTATCCTTTGGTTTCTGTTTGAGTTGGTTACGTGATCATGAATTCAGTGTAACATTTTTTAAAAAGAAATGTGATATTTCCTCATGTGCTTCTGATGCATTTCCCAGTGTTTTCTTAGCTTTTCAGGTTCAATGAATTTTTGAAAGTTGCAGCAAGGTAGGTTTTCATTCTTATCCCTTGAGAAGCAGGAGGAATTGAGGTAGGTAGGGACTGCTGGGCAGCAGTCAAGTATTACATTATAAAAAATAATAATAGCCTTTGCTCACCGAGGAAAGCAGTAAGGGAAAAATGAACCCAGAATTCAGCCAAGCAAAGAAATGTGGACTCCTGAAAAGTAAATAGTACACACAAAACACTGGGAGATTAGGTCAGGCTTCAGCCAACTAAATTAACCATATGGGACTATCCCTTCCCTGTAGCATTTCAGGGATTCACACTGTAGATAGTTATCTTGATGATTTCCCCTCCTCCTTTATTTCTTTTCTTTCCTTTGAAATCTGTGTAATATTATCTAGAATGTTAAGCAATAGACTCTCTAGGAACAGGAATACCAGTGGAAAATGAGGCACTTCTATGCACACCTGTTAATTGTTATAAATGAATGTAATTAGCAAAACTGTGTGAGCTGTAAACTATAACAAGTAAAATATTGGATGGCAAGGAATTAAACATATGGTCATTGGGGACAAGCTCTAAAAATGAAAATCTCAACCTAATGCAGCACATTTAATGCAGTTGCTGTAGTAGTGTTTTTATTACAAATATTGCTTGTGTTGTTTTCATGTTAACACAGAAAATGTTGTGCCCCTAAAGAAAACTGTTAGTCTCAATTTAAATATAGTATTAATTGAAATATAATACATTCTAGTTCTATTTATGTAAATAACATTGAAAACAAATTATGGCTTTTGATTGTGAAGATTGAAAAGAGTACTCAGCAGGAGATTGGAAAGAAGGTAGGACTTAAAAAAATGGGGCCAAATGGAAGTATTGTTAAGGTAATATCAATTCATTATATTTGGGGAATTTCCAGAGTAAAATCATTAATTCTTCACTGTATGTCTAGATTGATATAGTAGTATGATAATCAGAGATCCTGATTTTCTCTGATTTAAAATATCCCAAATTTTCAGATATAAAAAACCCCAAATCCATATTTTTCTGTGATTCACTAATATAATATTGAATATTATATTCACTAATATAAATGAACCACCACAATACACACATGCGCACACATGCACATGCGCACACATACACACACACACACACGCACAGAAGTGGTGGTTCATTTTAATGACAGAAAAATCTGGGTTTGGGGGGTTTTTTTATAACTGAAAACTGGGGATTTAAAAAAAAATCAGAGAAAACCAGGATCCCTGGTGATAATGGTAAAGAGAAGTTGGATATATTTTTGGTTATGTTGGCAAAACATTGTTTGATATTCATCCGATATGACAAGGTTGGCTCTGCTTGTTAACATTTGAAGCCATTTTTTAGTATATCCACTATCTCTGTCACTGGTAGCGTCTACAAGAGAATGTCTTCTTGTTGCCTCCCCGCCCCCCATCAGTGCCCTTGATTGTTCATAAGGTATTTTCCTTTTCACATCTACCTTTAAAAGTAGCCCACATTTAGGAGAAAAGAGTGCAAAGTGAGATGCTGTTGTACTGAGTGAGAGATTCATGTGACACTTACAAGGAACTGATACCTACTTTCTCAGTTTCTGGAGTATGATCTCCCCAGCTGATGGATTGAATACACCACTGAGGAAACTTACTACTTGAAGTATTTCCCACTTCAGAAAACATCTCTAGCAGTTAGATCAGACCATCACATAGCTGGGGGCTTAAACTTGCTCTTCTTAGCACAGTGCTCTAAACATCAGGCCATAGATCAACCAGTCCCAACTCTAGCCATTCCAACTGGGATTTTTAACTAGTGCATTGCTGATTCCAGCCACATAGAATCATACTTCTCCTTGGAGGTCACAGTTGATCTCTGGCTTGGGAATTAGAGCACTATGCAGGGTACTACACATTCAAATTCCCAGTTAGGTGAAGAAAACTGCCATTCAATTGTGTAACATGAAAAGAAATCTACCCAAGACATCTAGTGGATCAGTTAGGATTTAGTGCTTTGTTTTCTTTCAAAGCAAAAGTAGGTGCATCTATACAAGGCACTTTTTTCCACAGTAGAGCAGTTTTCTGTGCAGTAAGCATCCACATCTACACATGCAGACACGTACTGTACAGTAAACTGCTCTAATCATAAGTAAATATGCTACCTAGAAATGCAAGTAGCAAATTTACTCGTGAGTTACTGAGCAGCAGCAAATGCGTAGACACTGATTGGGAGCAAATTTGCTCTCAGTCAGACCTGTCACTAGGGGGCCAGCCCCTGAGCTCTGGGGCTGGGAGCCTCTCCTGCTCCAGGGCTGGCCAGCTCTAAGCCTGCCCCAGGCCCAAGGCCCTTAGAAGCCTGCGGGCATGCAGCTGGCCACTGCATCCCCCACCACAGGCCACAGGGCAGCTTCAGCAGCCTGCCTGAACCCCGGGACCACTCCCTGGTGAAACTGCCAGGGTCGCACCATCCATCTCTGCAGGAGGCTTCAGGCAGCTGTCAGACCTGGCAGCACCCAGGCCCACCTACAGCCAGCTTCTAGCCACCTGGGCCAGCTCCATCTGCCTCTTGGTGGCTAGCAGCAGCCTGCCCTGACCCTGCAGCTGCTATCTAGCACCATCTCACTGTGCACCTTCCAGTCCCATGCTTTGCCCCTGCATTGGGTGCTGCAGGCAGCTGCCCAGGCCCAGCAACACTGGGACTTCTGTGCAGAGGCCCAGTGAGCTGTTGAGGGAGCTGTGTTGGCATCCTCTCTGATGCCACATGCTGCCTCCCAGGGCCCCAACAGGTTTCAGGAGGAGACTGGGGACCTGACTGCACTGTGGGGCAAGGATGAGGTCCTCAGCCAGTTCATGAGGGGCAGGCACTCCAATGCCCACTTTTATGAGGGGCTGTCAGGCCATTTGCAGGAACATGGGCATGACCAGTCAGCACACGAGCACTGCATAAAAATCAAGGCTTCACAGGCATAGTGAATCACTGACCACAACCATCAGTTGGAGACTGCCAGTAAGTGCATGCCCTTTATGTGGCAGCTGGATGATATTCTCATGCCCTGCAACCCTGCCACATCCATGCCATGTATTAGAGCACAGGTAGCTTGCCCATACCTCTGCTACGGCCTGGTTCCCATAGTGATGCATTACAGGAGAAGGACCCCTTGGGCCACTAGCAGCCTGTCCTGCTGAGCTCCCTACCCCCAGCATCATCCAGCAGCTCTGGGAACCTGGGGCAGCACCTGCCCTTCCAGCTCACAGCCTCAGCCCTACCTATGAGGCCAGGCTGGCCATGGCAGTACCAGCCACTAGCAGGTCCAGCTCCTCCCCAGAGGGGGCCCCTGCCTGGGCAGCTGGATGCCACACCCCTGTGACACTGCCAAGGATGCACACCCTTGCTGCCAGAGGGGACTGACCTGAGCCACTGGGCACATCAGATCCACCCACCACTGGTAAGCCCTGCACTAGACAGAAGGCCCTCCCAGACCTGGCTGCTGCTGCAGCCCTAGCCCTCCCTCCCTACATGGCCTGCCTGTGCTCTCCTGTCCCCTAGGTTCCCCCTCCCCCCCAACAACATGCAGGAAGGGAGAAGACAGTGGAAAACTTTATTGAGCAGCCTATGCCCCCTCCATGCTCACAGCAATCTACTCCTTGGCTGAGGAGGGCAGGGACTGGTACAGCCACAGGTAGCCCTCCAGGTGATGGCAGAGGTTGTGGAGCAGTGTGGGCTTGCCCACCAGATAAATGAAGCTCAAGGTCCCATGCCAGGTGTACAGGCATGCTCAGGGCACCAAAGCCATCATTAGCAGCAGGGTGTAGTGGGTCATGCACTCCTCAGTTCATGCAAACAGTGCCTCTTGGTGTGCCCGGGACACTTGCAGCAGGGGCACGCTTTAGGTGTAGTGCCATTATGGGTGGAGACTGGTCCTGAGGCACCTCCTTAGAAAGGCCCCTGTGAGGAGGGCAGGGGTTCTGGCAGCTATGCATCCCAGTCATCCAGAAGCCTCTTGCCCCCTGGCCCCAGGTGCTGTGGGCTTGGTGGTAGCACAGGAGAGAGGCTGGCTTGCAGAAGGAGAAGTGGGGGGATGAGCTGTGGAGCCATGGCACCAGCTGCTATCAGAAGCTAGGCCTGTCTTAGCCTGGGAATGGGATGGGGAATGCAGGCTGCCTGCAGCCAGTACCCAGTGGCCCACCAGTCTCTGGAAAGCAAGCAGAGTTTGGGGGTTCAGCTGGCAGTCTGGGTCTGTCTGACCAATGTTGCAAACTCTCAGCAACAGCTTCTTTCTCCTGACTCTTCAGGTCCTGAAGCTGCACACGGGAGAGAGGTTCCAGTTAGCAAGATGGATGGTGGCTCAGGGTCTCTGCCAGCTTCAGCTCGAGCCCTGCAGATGTGCCAGCTCAGGCAGAGGACACAGGACTGGACCCTACTGCTGGACCAGTTGGTCATGGTGTCTGAGGAGTGACTAGCAAACTTGCAGGCTTGATGAGTGGAAGATCTGGCCTTCAAGGAGGCATGGGGCTGGGTGGAAAAGGAGTTCAGGGTGAGGCTTCTGGCTCTGGAGAGGTGCCATGTCGAAGCCCTGGAGCAACAGGCTGTGCTGGTAGCCAGGGTAGTAGAGGCAATGGAGGAGGACTGCTGGGTGCTGAACACCATACTGGCCCTGGCAGTCACCTGTGTGCAGCTCACTGCCTTGCCCCACTGTTCACCCAGGCTTCACACAGCTGCAGAGCAGAAGCTGCCCACAGTAGGGCCAGCAGCATTCATGGGCCCTGCTAGCCCCAGCCATTAGCTGTAGGAGGGGGAGATGAGTGCACCAGGAGAGCAGTGGCTGCTGCTGTCCCTGGGCAAGCCCCCCCCCACTCACCACAACATGAGCACCTTTGGGGGGATGACCAGATGCCAGGGTGCTGGGTGCCTGTCCCCAAGATATGCCCACTAGGCACTCCTACCCCATGACCCCACACACAGGGAGGGTACACATAACCACAACCAGGTAAATAGTTAGCCTGGGGAAGAGGGCATTTTATTGGTGGGATGGTGGTGGAGGGGTGCTGTGGGGAGGGGGGAGTCGGGATTGACTCTGTTGTGGGGAAGGAGAGGGGTGGAGGGTCTGTTTTTTTGAGGGCAATAGACTGCATTTTGGAGAACTGTCCACAGTGAGCATGGTGTTTGGGCCGCCCAGGTCTGCCCCAGGCACCAGGTGAAGTGGACCTGGTTGGGGTCCAGCTAGCTGATGTAGGGCTGCATGAGCCAGGGAAGGAGTGAGTAGTTGAAGTCCTCAGTGAGCAGGTGTGGGACTACTACTTTGCCCAGCTGGAGGCCCATCACCCCCGTGTGAAGCGCCAGCTCTGCAACAGTGTTGTCAGGGTGGAGCTTCAAAACACGTGGGTGTCGTGGGCACTGCCCATCCAGCTGGCACTCACATTTATGAAGGTGCTGCAGTGGTGGTCATTGACCGCCTAGAGCATAATGGAGTGGAAGCTCCTGCCAGGTTTAGCAGGGGCAGTAGCCATGGAGGAGGCAGATGACAGGGATGTGTTTCCCATCCAGGGCCCTGATGCACTGGGGGGAAGCCCAGGGCATAGAACATTGCCACCACCACCAGGGGGCATGCACACAGAGCACAGTGTACCCTGGCACATCCTGGAGGTTGCTGCACACCACTAGGAAGGGCCCCCAGTGGTGGTTTTGCCCTCACTAAAGAGATGGCCTATGTGGTGGAGGTTGGCAGGCGTGGCAAGCTTCAGCAGGGTGATGGCCAGCCAGGGGTCCTCAAGGAAGGGCTGCTGCATGGTGGTTTCTTGCCACTCTAGGTGTGGGCAGAGCTGCTCCAGGAGGTCCTGGAAGGTGGCCTAGGTCATCTGGAAAGACCCTCACCACGGGGCCCCTCACCATGGTGCGGGGAGGCAGAGGATGCAACAAGAGAGCCACTGTGTGCTGCTCCCACACTGTGCACACTGCTCCTGGCCAGAATAGCAGCTGGCCAGGGAGCAGAGAGAGGGGCTGCCTTTTAAAGATGGCTGCCAGCCACAGGCAGGTGTGGCCAGAGCCTCCAGCACCCCCTGGTGGTGGCAGGGACCCATTGCAGGGCCTCAAGAAGTGGGAGCAATTTGCTGCTAGAATCTAGAAGCAGCAAATTGCTCCCATTTCCCTGCACATAGCCAGGAGCTCAAGAGTAAATTGCTCCCAGATTAAGAGTAAATTTGAGAGTAAACTGCTCCTGAATCATTTGCACTTGTAGACACAACCAGTGTATATGATAGTGAAAGATGCTCCAGCAATAAAAGGTTTTATTCTGGTTCTATCCAAGGTGCGTGTGTAATCCCAAATTAATCAACTACCATGACTGATGTGGAACACCACCATGTGCAAATCATCTTTATATAAAAATTCACTAAAGACTTTTGCTGTAATGTTTTATAGAAGTACAGCTCAAAATATGATTTTATAATGGTCTGTGTCATTAATGTACCACATAGTAGTTTTTTTAAACTAAAAGAAATAGCTTTTTAAAACTAAAAGCATCATAATAAAACAAATAACAACAAACAAAATAGAATAATTCAAGTCACTGAATTTTCAAGGAGAAATAACATGTTCATTAAACACTCTAATTTTGTATTTTCTAAATATTTTGATTCAATCTCACCTTCCCATTAAGGAATATGTAATTAAAAATAAATTATCTGTACTTAGATGTCTTTCTAAAATGCTGATGCCCTCTATAACAAAACTTGGTATTTTTAAACTCTATTTTATGTTCATGTATCAGGATCAGGTATGACTCCATTTCTACTTCAGAAAATGAAAACTAACAGAGGCCCTTGTAAAAAAGGAAATACATGTTTCTGGCTCTGTTTTTTTAGGAACTAGAGTTGAGAAAGGTTGGCATTTGGCAGATGAAAGAAAAGTAAGAAATAGGAGTAAACAATTCTGTTCAACATGTCATAACTAACTGATTTATTGTACTGAAATATATACAAAGTTTGTTTTTCAGATAATTATAATGTATTAGAAAATATTTAGTGTTATGCTTTCATGGTTGCTTTTTTTACCTTCTTCTTACCCCACTTTCTTCCACTCCTACAACTGGCACCCAGTTATGCCAGTTCCAGGTAACACTTAAACTATGTATATACTGCCTCAATCCATGTCATGACTACTAATATACACTATTTTGCATTTAAATTTAGGCTTACTGTCTCTATGACTAATGATA